TCACCTTATCTGGACTGAAGTGCAAAAAGTTCCCACCTGACCTCCACAGAATCAGCTGTGCTTTTTTGTTTAATGATTTCAGCCCATCTCATTAAATTACAAAGAGTCTTTTGTAAGTTTTGAAAGTTTCAGGGCTGAACCTCTGTTTAAAAACTGCAACCAAATCAATTTAAAGCCACTCCAAGGGTCACACTCGCCATTGGCTCTTGAGCATCAGTATGATGGGATATATCAGAGTTTCAATCAGCTGTTTAATGAAGTAGAGGAACAAATACCTGAGCGTCAACACGATACCTGAGGTTTGCATACGTTTCTTTGTGCGTGGTGGTTTTTTTCAGGCCACTCGGCACGCTGAGATGGTCGCTCTGGATCAGGTCCTGGACTGGTGTTGGCAAAGCAGCTTGGACGTGAAGAGCGTGTGCAAGCGGATAGCGCTGTACGTCACCGTGGAGCCATGCATAATGTGTGCTGCAGCGCTGCGCCTCCTCAGTATCCTCACCTCACCTCTCTGCTAGTGTGTGTGTGTGTGTGTGTGTGTGTGTTGGGATTCAGTTGTTGTTCCTTTACCAGCTGTCAGACATCCCCGTGGTCGTGTATGGCTGCAGGAACGAGCGTTTCGGAGGCTGCGGCTCAGTCCTGGATGTCTCCTCTGCAGACCTGCCTCACACTGGGACCCAGTTCAAGGTCCGTGTTTGCTCCTGGTGTCTTTCTGGATTCCGCCTGCATGTTTGTGGAGTAGTCTGTGCTTCCTGCAGCTGAGTTCAGAAATCTTTAGGCAAGCAGTGTGTAGTGTGTATTATATGTGTGTGTGTGTTCAGTGTATTTCAGGTCACAGAGCAGAGGAAGCCGTAGACATGCTGAAGACTTTCTACAAACAGCAGAATCCAAATGGTGAAAAACAAAACCACTCTGCATGTCTTTTTTTTCTCCTCCTCACGCTCCATTATCAAAATGTTTTATATTTTCATACTTTACTGTTGCTTTTTTTACACTATTATTCCTTCTCTTCTTTTCTCACAGTGTTAAACTTTCTGTCTGTTTCAGCCCCCAAACCCAAAACAAGGAAGGAGTGATCTCCAAGAAACATCCTATTACAAGGATTTTTTTTATAATATTATTAATTAAATTATATTTTACATACATTTTTGTCTATTGCTTTTTTTTTTTACTATTTGTCTAACGTTTTTTTACCTATTAATATGACATTAATAATGGACATCTTATTTACAGTTAGAATTTAGCATTAGTGTTTCTGTTCATGCAGACTGCCACCAGAGGGCGCTATAGACCAGCGGTCTTCATGTCACTGAACCTCGACATAGAAGAAATAAAACTATAGTCTTTGGACTAATAAATACTATATTTAAAATAAATGTATGATATTTTCCAAAAGTAAAGGCTCAAGAATGACAATAAGAAATAACTTTTAGGAAGGAGAGGCAAATCTTCACTGGATGTTTTGTGGGTGAACTTTACACGCTCTTTTCTCCGTCTTTCGTATTGATTTGTATCGTTCAGAAGCACACTCTTGGCCTGCTTCAGCTCTAAATGTGATGCATACCACTTCCTGTGATATTTTTCCGAGAACGAGTCAGGCAGTGTGAGAAACTAAGGAAGTGTGCCCGAGAGCGCTTCTCAACGGGAGTGACCTTCACAGCTGCTCGTATAAGAGAAACACACATGCTGACACAATTCAGCTCGTTTCACTTCCTCTCAGACACACACACACTCTGTGGTGTGTCAGTTGGTAGCATTAGCAGTTAGGTTGTATTGACAGTGTCTGTGTGTGCGTTGCTGGGTATGTGTGTCTGTTTCATGTGTCCTGCTGTTTTTATTCCTCCGCCTGGCTCAAAAAAGGGATTGATGGAATTTAAACTTTTTTGCACTTTCTTTTGCTCTTTGTCTTTTCAAGGTTGTCACCACTTCCTTCCTGTCTCCTTCCTTCCTTTTTGTGGCTGATAACTTCCTTCCTTCCTTCTCCATTTCCGTCCTTTTATTTGTTAATTTCCCACTCCCCTTCTTTTCCATAATTTTGTAAAAGTAGATTTTTGTCTTAACTTTCTTCTGCTTTCCGTCCTTTTTCTGCTTTTTACTTTTTTAATTTGCCATTCTCATTTTTTGCTATCTTAAAGTAGAAAGTTATTTTATGTCACTGCATAATAAAATAATAATAATGATGAAACAGAATAACATTGTGCTAACACGATCAAGCTGCATATAATACACCTACTAATTAGCACTATGTAATAGACTAAGTGCTACATTTTAATCACCAAAACTGAAGCACAAACTTATTGAAGCTCAAAGCAGTTCATGTTATTTGTTACATAGTAATTCCATTAAAAATGCACCAAACGCATAAATGTGACGTTCAGATCAGCGACTCTCTTTAGATAATAAGAGTTATAAGCTTTAGCAGTGATGCTTAGCAGACGGCTATCGCACATCAATAGTCTAATATTCCATAACCGTTTGTGTGTTAGTTAGTTTGTTTTTCCCCCATATACTACACATGGCTTTCTGATGTGCTGTTTTGAAACTTTAAGATTTCTTAGACGTGACGAAGGAGGCCCTAATTGTTAAACTGGACGCTAATTGTCTAATTACTGACATCTCGTTAGCCAATGAGTATATCATTTTGATACTACCGCCAATCCTTCATTTTAAAACACAAGAATCATTTTCTAAACAGCTTTAACTTTTTTAGTCTATATGACTAAAAATGAGTGACTGAGCCAATAAACTCAGCAGGAAAGTATTTACGGGGGTGAAGTCAGAAAGCTGTTTTTCCACAGACTCTTACAGGACTGGAAGTTTTGTTTTGTTTTTATTTTTTGCATTCACAGCTGTTACGGCCCTAGCAGGGCCTCCTCCTGAAGGTGCCTGTGTGGGCGTGTCCCACCACCTCTTCTGCCTGAGGTGCCACCTTTCCCTGTTACACAGCTGACTCACATCAGTAATTAAAAGTATTTAAGCCCAGGGAAAGGTGGGCTTAAATACCAGAGTGCCATTAGTGTGGTTACAGCTAGTGAGCTGAGTGTTTGCAGCTTGTGAGCTGCACTGTTTTTGACTTACTTTGTGCTTCATTGACTAACATTTGAGTTTCGTTTGTTTTCTTAAATGGTGATAGCGGCTTGTCCGTCTCTTTTAGTTGAGCTATTTTAATAAAACTCTTCAATTTAACCCTTTTGCCTCCTTGCCTCCTTGACTCCTTTTCCCCCTCGAAGTAACTTATTGTTACTTCCCCCTCACCGCCTGGAGCCTTTTAGGGGAACGTAACACAGCTATCGCCACACTTCCACATTGGCTTCCTTTTTCCCTCCTACACGTAATCCAGGTAGGCTACGCTGCACAAAAAAACTGTATTTATATTTATATATATTTATATGAAAGTTACACCTATGAAAGCTTTGCTGCTGACCTACAGATGAATCCTGTAGGATACACTTCTGTGATAAGATGCCTTTTATAGGGTGAATAAAATGCTTTCAGTCTTCTACAGGATCAAATCCATTGGGATTAGTTCCCATATCAGTTGGGATACTGATATGGGAACTAATCCCAATACTTTCTGTATTTCAGCTTAAAATTGACTTAAATATTACACTTTTAGAAGGAAATTGAACTAATCAAACACGGCAGTGGGATTTGAAAATACTTATGTGCCATTATGATTTCTCTTCTCACCTGTTTTTATTGCTGAGCTTGTCATTAGTTGGAATTGAACTTAACTTGAAAATTAAAGCTGTTAATGGCGAATGAAGTTTTCATCAAGAGTCACAACTAAAGACAAAGGATGAACTGAAGCTCTGCCATCACGTAATGTCGCATACTGCTGTTTCTGATGTCATTTAAAGAAGAAGAAAAAAAAAAAAAAGAGTCACAACTAAAGTTTGTTAAATTCCAAATGGCTGTTCTATAGAATCAAATTTTGTGCAAATGTTGGTGTCGCCTCCTGCTGGTCGTTAGAAAGAGTACAGGTTTCTGGCACGTTCACGTGTTGTCTTTCATTTACAGTCTGTGATCTTAGATGGTGTGATGTTTTAAACTGCCTTCTTCCTTTTTCTTTCTTGTGTTAGCAGTTCCTCACCAGTTAATTTACTTCAGCGTTTTTCCACTTCCTTTTATGACCTTGTTCACTTTCCCCTTCATTCCCCCTTACTATCTCTTCTATCATACAGGGGTTTTTTTTATTTTTCACTTCCACTTTTTCGTTCCTTTTATTACAAACTTGTAAAATACATGCACACGTTCCCACAATATTTTTTGTTTACTAAAATCATCACAAAAAGCAGCTGAGAATTTAAAGCCGTGTAGGTTTTCTCATGAACCCGTTTTCCTGAGGACACTGAGCTCACAGATACATCAGATATATCAGATACACAGTTCTTTGTATTCACGTGAAACACGTGCCTCAGTCCAGCTCCTCTCTTCTCGTTAGCATGTAAATATATGCTAATACATGCAGAGCAGAATATTCGAGAATGTTTTAATGTGTCACCTCAGAGTGGAGGAGTTGATGTGTTAATGAAGAGACAGCGCGCACACACACACAGAGCAGTGCAGGGTTGGCTGCGAGGCGCTAATGAACAGAGTGTGTTGTGTCAAACTCTCCTTTCCAAAACGACAGCGAGAGGAGTCTCACACAACCACACTTCTACACACACACACACAATGGAGAACACCAAAAAAAGGAAAAAGCTGTGTAATACGAGATGTCACGTTGTGTAAAGGTGTTTTTATTATATTACTGTCACAAGAGAAGAGGTGTGTTTGTGTTCAAGGAGGAAGCAGATGCGGGGGGAGCTTAGCTGCTGACAGGAAGTGTTGCATTGATGTGTTTTTTGTGGGTTCACAATTTTAACCTTCGCAGTCTAAAGAAATCAAACTAAAAGGGTCGTGCTCCACCTTTCTGCTCAGCACAGAGGGGGAGGCATCTTAGCTTCTGCCTGTGCTTTGTTTTGCAAATTCTTTTAAGTCAAATATGTTTCAATCAGTCTGCATATATTTACTTTATGGTCCTAACTTCTCTTTCATCCTTCCTGCGTGTCTGTTTTCTTTGTCACATCTGTCCAACATTGAGAAACCCACCGCATTACTTATTTTCTGTTTGTTCCCGCTTTATTATTTTTTTCTGCTTTGGTAATTTTCTGCACACATCAGTTTTATTTTCGTCTCCTTATTTAATTAGTTCCTCTTTCATTGTGGGTCCAACTGCTTCGGTTCCTTCTTTCATTCTTGACATATTTGCTTTCAGCCTCGCACATCTGGGCGACAGATCTCGATTTATTTTGTTCTGGTTTATTCAGCAGAGGCCTTGGCAATTTACAGCTAACGGGGTGTCATGAGTGTCATTCACATCGTGTCTTATTGTTGCTTGAAGTTTCCATTGTGACAGAGAGCTGGAAAACTCGGGCGCGGTGAATTCTTTCTCTCTTTGCTCACTGCTTTAACCCATCTCTGCTTGTGTGTGCGACCAGCATGGTCGTGTGAGTGATTATACGAACATTTTGTACCAATTGGAGGTCAGTTCGACCAAAACCTTGTGACTCAATTAAAAAAAAAAGTGTTAAGTGACACAGTAGGAGAAATGTATCATTCATTTTTGCAGAAAAGGCACATAAAGTGAAAAAGGGGGTGTGGCTTGAATCTTAAATGACAATGAATCTGATATGTTGCAGATATCAAATTCAAAATAAACCTTATTTCCTATCAAACTACCTCATTTGTTGAAGATGTCGATGAATCTCACCATCATCCATGGGTTCAACTTCTTATATCAGTGTTGGTCGAGTTACTTGAAAAAAGTAATCAGTAACTAATTACTGATTACTTATTTTCAAAAGTAATTAGTTACTTAGTTACTTTTTAAAAACATGATACACAACCTGAATAGGTGATAAAGCGATAGATCTTTCAGCCCAGTTCTACTTTTTCTGCATAATCCATCATATAAAATGTAATCAAATGGAAAAGTCTCTTTTTAAAACTTGTTTTATTAGTTTTAATCTTTTAACTTTATGCATCAAGAAAAACTCTATTATATGCAACATTCTCTGACTGGAAGAAATTAGTTTATCATTTAAACCTATTTTCTGCACATTCCAGCACATAAAATAAAATAGTTTTTTGTGTTTCGGGGTTTTTTAGCTGTAAAAAGAAGTTTTCTTCCCACGCAGTGAACAGCGGACGCTAATGTTTTTGTCACTTTTACAGACTCAAACTCAAAGTAAGGTCAGTACTTCCACGCTTCAAACGCTGCACGCTCATCCTCTCTCCCGCACTCGATATATCATCCATTTTTGATCTGCACACAGCTGTTGTCACGAACGTCGCTCTTGTTTATGTCATTGTCATAAAACACTCTCGCAAACGAAATCACGGTTTCGTAACGCAGCGTGCTTACGGGAAAGTAACAGTAATATAATTACCTTTTTTGCAATAGTAATCCCTTACTTTACTCGTTACTTAAAAAAGGCAATTGGATTACTGCCCATCTCTGTTGGCGACAGATGTAGTGAAGTACACAGATTGGAGGACCTTTGATGAATCTGTCTTTCAGTCTCAAGTACAATATTCAGCTTTCAGACACCTTTTTTTTCCAGGTGTTTCTTTGATTAGATGTGTCGCCAGCTTTGCTGATGTTGTTGCAGGAAGCCTCGTCTCCCGTGACACGGTCTTGCTGTGTTTCTTCAAATCAGATGGACTCTGGTCTATAGTATTCGGTAGTACTGACATAAATCTGATTGGCACACTAAAAAGGACAGAGTATGGTAAACGAGTCCAAGCATCACAGCTGAGCAGAGAGCACTAACTACTCTGTTAGATCCACTACTTCAATATAACTGCCAGGAAAAAGCTACTTTCTGTTGCCCCCTTTGTCACCATTTGACATACCTGTAAACACCATATTACAGCTGTCATGATTATTATCAGTGGCCTCCAACAGCATCAGTCAGTCAGGTCATCATGTAAAGTGTGGCTGTATTTCCTGTCTTGTGACTTGCTATTAATATGTTTTGAACTTTGAACAGTTTGTTAAATCGACAGTCAGCCTCTGCACAGAGCTGCTGCGGTTGTAACTCGCAGCCAAGACGAACCTGTTCTCGTAAGTTTCTTTGGTTTTTTGCAGCATCGAGTGCAACTCTGGATTCACATGAAGAAAGAAAGTATTTTTAAATCAGACTTTATTGATAATTTACCGACCTCTAGTTTCTTTCACACATGTAGTGAGAGCGCAGGATGAATAGCACTAATAATAATAATAATAATCTTCAACACAGCACTGGTTTTCAATCATTATGAAGAAGCTAATAAAGAAATTTGTTCACTTGAATGTGCTCATTCCACAAAAACAAGTCCCATTAATGTGTGTTTCCTTTCCCTGCATACATGTGTTACATACATGTGTTTGCTGCATGTCAGAGTTGATGTCCTATGTTTTATGAAGATGTATGTATGTGCATATTTCGTCCATGTTTTGTCCTCGATCTGCAGGATGGATGCTTAGCTTTCGCTTCTGAGGAAACGAAAGAAAGCAAACAAAAAGATGAGCTCTCATTCATTACCTTTTTTTCCTCCTTATTTACATTTAATCGATGATGCATCTGTCTTCTTCTTTTTACTGCGTAATGTTATGGATAGAGTTCAAAAAGTACGCGTCTTTTCCACGTCCAGAGATGTCGCTTGTTTGTGTTCTGGTGCTGTCCTGGGAGCGCGGGGCAGGAGAAGTCCTCTGAAACGATTCTGAAGATCACTCACCTTTGACCTTTTCTTTGAGACAGAGACAAAAGGGGCCAGATTTAGTGAAAAAGATGGCAGGTGACCTTTATGTTACAAAAAATAGAAATCTGAGCATTTTTTGAGCAAAAACATGAGCCCGCACAGAGCCACCTTTGGTCCTTAGAGTGTAGGTGACACAGGTTAATGAGCAGGTGTGCGGCTACTCTTCAGAGCGCATTTATGATTATTTGGTCCTTTTAACTGTGCATTTTAAATAATATTACGTTTTTGTTGCATTTAAGAAGAAATGCTCATGTATAGGCACACTGTGAACACACAGTTACTATAAAGATACATGTTTTTGTGCAAATTAATCAAACTAAGTGACCTAATTTAATAATAAATAAAATAGAATAACTTTGAAAATACTACAAAAATAACAGTGACAAGCTTCATTTCTATAGCAAAGCACTCACAAGGTGCTCCACAATAAATAGCAGTGTTAAAACATTACAAAGTACATGAAATGAGTAAACGTGAGGCTTGAACAAAATTATTATGAAACATTAAACAAAAGCCAGCCTCCACATTTTGTTTTGTTTATTTACTGAGGGGAACTGATTGTGCTGATCGTAAGAGGAAAATTGTTCCACAGTTTGGGCCAAAACGGCAAAAAGCAGCCAGATTCCAGCCCAGACCTGGAATCTATAACAGGAATTGATTGTCTGATCTGAGGGACTCAGGGTCGACATGTAGTGATTTTAAAGTAATCAGTGAAATTTTAAATTGGATTCTGTAGCGGATGGGAAGCCAGAGTAATTCTGCGAGGGCTGGAGTCGAGTGCTTGTGAGCGATATTTCTGCTGTGTTTTCTACTAACTGTAGACAGGAAACTGCTGCATCACTGAGGCATGTTTACAATGAGTTGCAATAATCTAATCAGGAGGAAATGAGGATATGGATAAGATGTTCGATTGCATTATTTGGAAGAACTGGTTTGACCTTTGCATTTGTAATCTGCGCACAGTGAGGCCGGACAAGACTTTTGATATACTGATTGAAACAGAGACGTTGACAGAAAAAATTGCACAGGTTTCTAGGAAATTGCTTCGGGTCAGTTATCAGGACACTTTCAATATAATTTTGACTCAGGTCCACCCACAGACCAGGCATGCCGCTAAGCCAGCAGTGTTGGTGGTGAAAGCAAGAAATCTGTCCACTGTTGTTTGGATTTAGAGTCCAAAGCTAGGGAGACTCAAAACTAACCTTTTAAATACTAAACACCACAACTGAGCTTCAGATAAACTAAGAGGATAATGAACCAGGTCATAGACACAGACTGTGATTCGCATTTTAGTTGTCAAAACATGAACTTTTTTGTAAAATTCTGTGTATTTGTTGCATAGTTTTTGCACTTTCAGTGTATCTGGAAAGTATTCACAGCACTTCACTTGTTCCATATTTTGTTATGTTACAGCCTTTATATTCAACTTTAAAATTATGCACATAACACCCCATCATTTGAAAGTGAAAAAAGGTAGCTTGAAGTTTTTGCAAATGTATTAAAAACAAAAACGTAACATACACATAAGTATTCAGAGTCTTTGCTTAATACTTTGTTGAAGCATGCTCTTTTTAAGTACGAAGCTAAAAGCTTGGAACACATATTTATAGGACGTTTCTCTCATACTTCCTTGCAGAACCTCACAAGCTCCACCAAGGTTGGATGGGGTGTGTTGGTTCAAGTCTGGGCTCTGGCTGGGGCGCACAACGGCACTCAGAGAGGATCCTGAAGCCACTCCTTCCTTATTTTGGTCGTGTGCTTAGAGTTGTTGTTGGAAGATGAATTTTCGCCCCAGTCCAAAGTCCAGAGTGCTCAGGAGCAGGTTACCATCAAGGATGTCTTTCTTTTTGCTCTACTCACCTGTCCCTCGACCCCAACTAGCCTCCCAGTTCTTCATGATGACAAACTTCCCCACAGCATCATGGAGCCTCTACCATGCTTCACCAGGTGACAAGTGGCGCCTAGTTTTGTTTGTGTTTAAATAAATTTGCAAGAATTTCAAGGTAACTTTTTACATTTTGTCATTATGGGGTACTGTGTGTAGAACTTTGAGGTAAAAAATGAATTTAACCCATTTTGGATTAGGGCTGTAACACAGTCAAATGTGGACCAAGTGAAGTGCGATGAATCCTTACAGATGCACTGTAGAGAATGGAAAGAATCACTTACAGCAATGATGAGTGAAAATGACACTTGTTTTATTGCTAAAGAGCAGCGTGCAGCTACAGAGTCGCAGGTTCTGTCTTACGGCAACAATAAAAAGGTTTCCGCTCTTAAGCGTCTGTCCTTGTGTGTTTTCAGATCTCTGCTTGGAGCCTGATTTTGACTCTGTCGTCTCTGAGAAGCTTGTATCTAGTGACCGTTATTTTACAACGTTCGATTGGTTCTGAATCACATTTTATTCAATTTGAAAATAACAAAATAATTTCTTATTATTTCTTATTACTTCAAAAGGATGTTTT